CATCATGTTATCCCCATTAATGTGAACAGTTTTTATGTGTTAGTTAAAATAGATTTAATTGAAAAATAATAAAGTAAAACATAAATTTAATTGAAAAATAATAAAGTAAAACCTTTGAAAGAACCCAACAAAAGCTGGTCTGACCATTGTAATGCTTACTTGAATCTTAGTCTGTATTAACAGAGCTGGGCTGTCTTCTAGAATCTGAGTTCTTTCTTATCCATTCAATCTATCCTTTTGTATTCTGTTTTTCCTCTCTTTTTTTTTTTTCAAATGTATTGATAAAAGATATTTTAAGACTTCTGTATTTTTCTTTGTGTTATGTGCAGTTGCAGAGTACTTTCCCGTTCTCTTAATGACTGCCCGTAATCACCACACGTTCCTGTCCATCTGGTCTAAATGGTCACTGACCTTTGCGTGGTAGTGGAGAGACTGCAGACTTGTCTTTTGACTCTCATTTCTGCTGAGAAGTCACTTGTCAATCTTACTTTTGGCCTTTAAAAGTGTCATGCTTTTTATCTCTGGCTGGAGTTAGGTTTTCCTCTTTGTCTTCTGCCCTTACCACTGCCCCGATCCATGTAGCCTTTGTGTACTCTGCTTTGCGTTTGCAGATTTGAATTTATGGATTGACAGGCTCCAGTAGCTTTTCACAATCCATGATTATTCTCTTAAAATACCACTTTGCCATCATTCAGGCTGCTGCTAAAAACCAAAATGCCGTGGACTTGGAGGCTTTTAAAAAACAGGGATTGATTTCTCACAGTTCTAGAGGTGGGCAGTCTACCGCCAAGGCAGGCTCAGCATCTGGCTCATAGATGGCGCCTTGCTGCTGTGTCTTCTTAGTGGAAGGGCAGGGGGTCCTTCTGGAACATCTTGCAAGGGCACTGGTCCATTCATGAGCACCCCTGACCTAATCACCTCCACCTTCCAGTTCTGTTAGAAATACCGGGGTGCCCCAGGGAATCAGACACATGCTCAGAAGCCCTCAGCAAGGCAAAGGTTTCCTCTGCAGAAGGGCGTGTGTCCGTCCTGGCTGGCAAGCGCCCCTGGGCAGGCCGCCCTCCTGCTTTGACCCCTAGTGCAGCACTGCCCTTGCTCTGATGGGAGGAGCTCGCGGTTACAGTGTTCACAATGCGCTGGTTTTATAAAAGGAGCAGGGGAAGGGAAGGGCTATAGTTAAAATGGCTTCTGTTGGATCTTACATCCCAATGTAAGATGAAACACTGTATTCTGAGAATGGACTGCGGACTTTCCGCTTCTCCCAGTACCACCACTTTGGAGGTTTGGATTCCAACGTATGAATTGGAGGGACACAAATGCTCAGACTGGGCACCCCCATTCCATGGTTTTCTCTTGGGTTCCACTTACGTGGTGTTAGGCCATGTCACTGGGACCTCACGTCTATATTTTCCATCTTTTTTCTCTTTTTTCATTTTCTATTGCCTGTCTTCCCATTTGTTAACACTGCCTTCAGTTGTATCTAATCTCTTGAGTTCTTAATTCCAGTTATCACATTTTTTAATTCTAAAATTTCCATTTGATTCTTCATAATTTCCATTCCTCTGGGAAAATTCTCCATTTTTCCACTTACTTCCTCTTTTTCTCTTACATGTTGAACATACTGATCATGATTATTTTTAAGACCTGTTTGATCACTCCCAGGTCTGAATCCTGCAGAGGTACATTTCTTTTGTTTGGTCTTTGTGTTTTTATTTTATTTTCCTCTTTGTTTTTGATCATGTGGTCCTGTCTCTTCATGCCTTTATACTTTGATATGTATTACATCACCTGCTAAAATACAGCCCTCCCTGAGGCCTCAAAAATCAGGTCCCACTGTGACTTCTGGGGTTCTCCTCCCGGAGGACCTTGAACTCAGGTCTTTTTTCCTAACAGCACCTGGCCCTGAAGTTTTCTCTTGATTTTCAGAGATTTTCTGCTTAGACTTTTAAAGTTCGATCCCACTTGCTGTGTTCAGTGGCACAAGCCTGTAATCCCAGCAGTTTGGGAGGCTGAGGCAGGAGGACTGCAAGTGGGAGGTCCGCCTGAGTAACTTAGTGACCCTTAGCAACTTGGGGAGACCCTGTCTCAAAAGTCTGAAGTACGGAGGATGTACCTTAGTGGTAAAGCACCCTTGATTTCAATCTTCAGTATTAAAAAAAAAAATCCCACCTCTTATACCTCATTCAGAATTTGGCAACTGTCTTAAGGGAGGAACTGGCTGTTTTAGTCTCCAGACTCTTTCCCTGGGATCTTGGCCTCTGGAGCCTGTTTCTCTCACCATGAGCTCTGCGGGTTTCTCTGTCCCTGGGCAACCACTCTCTGCCTGCGAAGACTCCAGACGCCCAGCCCCGTGCTGTGCCTGGAATGCAAATGTGCTGGGATGGTGTGTGGGTTGAGGCTGCGGTCCTGCAGCCCTGCTCTGGGATCTTGGCCTTCCGCCCCTCTGCTTCTGTAGCGCTTTAACACTCACGGCTTCCCCAGCGCCGTGTGGGCAGCCTGGGGTGGCCACCTGCACTCTGCAGTCTTCCTGGTCATGCGGATTTTCACCCCAGATGGGAGTCTGCAGCTCCTGAGTGTTCATGTGGTGCTCCCGGAGAGGAAGTTCTAGCTCCGTTGCTCAGTGTGGACAGCCAGTTGTCCCAAGGCTGATCTTACCCGGTGCTCTGGGAGGCAGCACTGGGGTGCGGGGTGGGGCTGACTCATCTCCCCCTGAGCTCCTGTGGCTGTCATTTCAAGGCTCTGGGACTTACGATGGCTTCGTAGCCTCCAGGGTGGCTGGGAGGGATCTCTGCCTTTTTTCTTCTTATTTTTAAAAAATCTCTTCTCTTACCACATTTCATTGAACATCCTGCTGGGATATTCTGATTATGGGGATCACACTGAGTGGTGTTATGGTTTGGAGGTGAGCTGTCCCCAAAGCTCACATGGGAGACAGTGCAAGTCGGTCCAGAGGAGACCAATCTGTGATCAGTCCCCCTGGTGGGATTAACTGCGTGGTGACTGAAGTGGCGTGGGTGTCGGTGCGGCTGGAGGAGGTGGGCATGGGACGTGGCTGTGGGTATGTATCTGTACGTGGGGAGTGAGGCTCTGCTTCTTGGTCACCATGATGTGAGCTGCTTCCCTCTGCCACATTCTGCCATGATGTTTAGCCTCACCTCAAGCCCCAAGGAATGGACCGGCCTTCTAGGACTAAGACCTCTGAAACCGTGAGCCCTCCCGTAGACCTTCTTCCCTGAAGTTGTTCTGACTAAAACACTTGGTGTAGCTAAACTGGGGAGGACTGAACACTTTGCAGTGTTGAATTGGACCCCTGCTTCTCGATGCTTCTTCGTTTCCAGCTGTCGCTGTCGCAGCCCTTGGGATTACCTGGTCACAGGGGAGAGCCTTTGAGGGACACAGGAGTGCTGCTACCTGCTGCTCAGAATCTCGCTCACAGCAGCCTCTCGCGCACAGTCTCTTGGCCTCACAGGCACAGGAACTTGCCAACATTATCAAACACAGGTCCTCAGAGAAGTGCACCCTTTTGTCCACTCCTGGGTGGTCACTTGTAGATTCAAGAGGACACACAGTAAGGGACCCACCACAGAGTGCCGTCAGGCTGTGCCCTGAGGCTGCAGGACTGTGTGGGGGTGGTGGCTCAGGCTGGACAGCGTGCACTGTTGGGCTGGTTGGGGAGGACAGCCTGCCTCTGGCCCGCCTGTGCTCCCTTCTCTGTCTGCAGAGATGGTCCTCCTTCCTGATCCTGGGTCCCCAGAGGGCAGCTCAGAGGGACTGCCCCTCAATCCAGATAAGAGTCTGCAACAGTCCAGGAAGGGCACCTTTGTGCCAGATTGTCCTGGGGTGAGAGGAGTGGGCAGGGGGACAAGACAGAAGATGGCCTTTTCAGAAGGGGGGCCTGGGGGACTCTCTGGGGGGGATTTAAGGAGCCCACCCTTAGCCATTGCTCTAGCCTCTGCTATTGGGGGCTCACTGTCAGCAGACAGCCAAGCCGGTGTCCATGGCAGTGGGTGACAGCCCTGAGAAGCCCTCTTCCTGTCCTGCTGAAGGGACTCTGCTTCCCGGGGCTCTGGCCCCCAAGAGGGACCCCTTGCCCTTCCACAGGAGTTCAGTTGCTGTGACTGTCGCTCTGCCAGAACCCATCCCTCTCCCTGTCCCTGGGAGCACCGTCCTGACCCAGGACCCTGGGTGGGACAGCCAAGGGCCTGCCGGCAGCCCTGGAGAGCGCTTTCCATCGGCTGACCTCCCTGTTCCGCAGGAGTTTCCAGTTCTGGGACCTGAGGGGCAGAGTTGCTTTGGGGCCGTGGACCTCCACCCTGTGGCCCAGGGGACTGTCACACAGCGGGGCCCCGCAGGTTGCATGAACTGCCCGTGACTTGGGGGTTCCCAGTCAGCTGCCTGCTGTTCAGTGTGACTTGGGCGCAGCTTCAGGGATATCCTTCATTCCTCCTGAGAGGGTCACGGGCAGCAGGAAATGGTGCTAGAGGGAGGCTTCTGCGCCTTGTTTAGGGCCCTGTGGTTCTTTTGAGTGCTGAGTTAAGTGCTTTAAGTGCTTGGTCCTGCTAATGCAGAGACCACACTGTGACTGGCTGTGGCTACCAACCCGGGCCCAGGGTGGAGGCTGCAGTCAGACACCCTTGACTTGGATCTTGGGCTTGTGCAGCGCCCCCCCCCCCCGGGGCTGCATCCTTAGGGGACCCTTCCCCAGGATCCCCAGGACCCCGCCATGGCTTGAGGGTCACCTTCAGGCCAGGTGCTTCCTGCTTCTTGTCCTGGGATGGAGCTTCCCCCGGCTCCACACCCCCAGGTCCCTGTGCTGTACCCTTTCTCCCTGTTGGCCGCTGCTGCAGGTCCGGCTGGGGTTGGAAGGGCGTGGAGAGTTCTGTGGGTCCCAGCAGCACCCTGATCTTGGGTCTTTGGATATTGTTTCTAATTTGCATTTTCCTTTTCCCCAAGGTATCTCCTACCCTTGCCGGGGCTCCTGCCACCACTAGGAGTGACCGACAAAGGCCGCAGAGATGGCTGGGGCCTCGGTGAAGGTGGCGGTGCGAGTCCGCCCCTTCAATTCCCGAGAGATGAGCCGTGACTCCAAGTGCATCATCCAGATGTCAGGAAGCACCACCAGTGAGTACTAGGGACGTCACTGGTCCCCAGGCACCTTGTGTCTCTGGGTCAGGCCCCTGGGCCAGCCCGGCCCTCCTGCAGCCACAAGCTCCTGGTCACAGTGTCCTGCAGTTGCTGGGGCCGACCACACACCGAGGCCCACAGCAGCCGGCTGCCGCCCACGGCTCCCGAGTCTGAGCCAGGTGTGGACAGGCCGCCCTCCCTCTGGTTGGCACCTGCCTCTTCCAGCCTCCAGCTCAGCTCCCATCTCTCCTCGTTGTCACCCGGCCTTCTCCCTGGCATGCCTGTGTTCCCATGTGACCTTTTATAAGGACACTAATCACAGGATTTAGGGCCACCTTAACCCAGGATGACCGTGTTTTAGCAAATAATCACCTCTCCTCCAAAGACCCTGTTTCCAGATAAGTTCACCCTCGAGGGTCCTGGGGGCACCGTTTTGGGGCACTCCTTAGCTCAGGACAGCCACTGCCCAGGTTTGCAGGCTCCCTGCTTTCTGCCTTGGTTGTTTCTCCAGCCTCTCAGCCTCTGGCCAGCAGGAGGCTGGCCTCGACACGGGGTTAGGAAACAGCAAGGTAGAGGAGGGAGGTTCCGGAAGGCCAGAGGCCAGGACTGCCGGGAGGTCCTGCGCAGGCCAGGCTGCTGGGGGCAGAAGCCAGGCTGGCGGGGGCTGCTTTGTCTTTCACTAGAAGGCTGTTTAGTGAGGTGCCGTGGACACAGTGCAGTGGACCCGGAGATGGCAGACCCAGGTGTTCAGCTCACTCAGTTTGTGTGACCGCAGCACAGGGGTGGAGAGCTCTGGCCAGCACCAGCTGCCCTCCATGCCTGGCCCCTCTGGCCTCCCGCCCTGGGCAGGCAGCCTCTCACACCATGGGCAGGGCTGGCCCTGGGCCCTCCACCCCTGGTCCTGTGTGAGCAGGCGTCACTTCAGTTCTGGGGCTGGCTGGGCTTGGCAGGTGGCTGGGGACTGACTGAGTGGGCCCAACGGGACCCAGCACTGGTTCCATACTACACCTCCTCGTCCTCGAGGTGGAGTAGGGCAGGGCCTTTCGCCCACAGGGGCCGCCCCAGGGAGGGGCTCTTCGACCTGGAATGGCCACCTGGCTGGGGTGGTGGCCTTGGCCTCCAAGAGTGAGCATTTGGGCGTCATGGGGGAGGGTGCAGGGACACTCGAGGTCCCGTTGTGTGAGGTCATCACTGGGGTAAATGATGCTCTTACTGGAGTGTCCTGTGACCCAGCTTTGAGCCAGCAGGATCAGGGCAGCCTGTGCCTCCATCCCTGGCTGCAGAGCTTGGCCTGGCCACGCGGAGCCGGGTTCCTCCTTGTGGCCACGTCCTCGCTTGCAAGAGGGCAGGCTTTGAAGCCCCAAAAAACTTCCATCTCTCTTTGGGTCAGAGCAGGAGAAGTGACCAGTGAGCCCCTTTGCAGGCCCTTGGCTGGCCTGTGATGGCCCCTCGGGCACCTCAGAGGCTCTGACCATCCTGGGCTGAAGCTAATGCCAGGTGGGCCCAGGAAGCAGGGCCCAGGAGTGACGCCCAGCTGGGCTCTCAGCCAGCTTGCTGGGACTGCACCTGCGCCCCTTTGGGCCTCTGTGTCCCTGCCAGTGGATACCCCCACACCCCACTTCCGGGTTGTCTCTGAGTCCTTCAGTCACTGAGGAAGTTCCAGGGCACGGCCCCTTGTCCTGTCTCGGCTGTGTAGACCGGGACCCTGGGCCCAGGGTGGGGGTGATCTGGGCTGGGACGGGACTCTCCACCCCAGGTCACCCCCACTGGTGCTGGGGAAGGGGGTAGCGCCTCCATGCCACGGGGAGGTGGTGCCCATGTGCGCTGCCTGGGCCTCCATAGAGGGCCTCCAGCTGAGCGGCTCCAGATGCCCGGCCCGTGTCCTCCCAGTTCTGGAGACCAGGGTGGGACAGCGAGGTGCGTGGCTGCTGTGGCCCCATGAGCCTGCCAATCCCCGACACGGTTCCACCCTCCTCACCTCTTCCCAACCTGCTCCCCCAGGGGCGTCCACTGGGATGGGCCTCATGAGTGAGCGGGGGACCAGGCAGGTCCTGGCGGGCTCCAGTGAGAGGCCACCTGGTGCCCCCTCGCTGGCTGGCTGCAGGGACATTCAGACTCCAGGAGTCGCTCCGTGAAGTCGCTACACCTTCTCTGTCCCCTCTGGTGGTCACCTGGTGTGGGCCTCGCCCTGAAGGCCCTCCTCTCTCTCCCTCCTGCGGCTGCTCCTGGAGGCAGCTGGACAGGGCCCCCCACAGCCCCAAGGACAGGGCTGTCATGGTCTCACCCATACCCTCCTGCTGGGGCCTGAGGATGGGAGGGGGGTCTGCTGCAGACCCCTCCCAGCTCCCAGACAGCACCAGTGACTTTGGTGCTCCATGGCCGTCCCTGACCATGGCCTTCATCTTTGTCCCCCTGCCTGCCACCTGTGTCTTCACAGACACCCTCCTCGTGTGTGTCTGTCTCCAAATGTCCCCTTTCTAAGGTCACAGTTCCATGGGATTGCCCCTGCCCCCGCCCAGTGACCTCATCTTAACCAATCACACCTGCACTGGCCCTGTCTCCAAATAAGGTCACATTGAGCTGCTGGGCAATAGGACGTGAAATCGTGGGCTTTGGGTGGACATGAACTGAGGAGGACACAGCTCCTTGCTCTTGGGGAGGGATTTGTTCTTGATCCTGTCACCCTGGGTTACGGCAGGTGTCCTGGAGGCCATGCGGTGTCCAGTCAGGCCAGGAAAACCAGTCCTGGGTGGACAAACCTGGCCTTCATCTCAGGCCTTGGGGCAGAGTCAGGAGGGACTTCCCTCATCAGACTAGATGATGTGATGGCCATGGTCCCCCAGGGCCTAGGGGTCTAGGCTCCTCATGGATGTGAGAACCCAGGGTGCCGTCTGTCTCTGGCCCGGGGGCTGCAACAGCTCTCTATCAACAAAGTTATCTGGGTTCTGATGGACCAGAGCGCAGTGGGTACAGTGGCCTGGGGGCTGGGGACCAAGTCCTCTCTGTCCTGGCTCAGGGGACACGGGCCTGTTGGCTGAGACAGCCCCTGGGTGGGAGTCAGAGGGAGGCGTGCTGGGCTCCAGGGGAGCTCCGGGACCCCTGTAGGCCCCGGTGCGGGGCATCGAGGCCAGCTCCTGGCCTGCCTCCGGTTTGAAGGAGCCCATTTTGGAACACAGCCGCGGCTGTCTGGAGCTGGGCTTGGAGCTCGTGGGGTGGGGGGGTCGAGGCTTGGTGCCGGTGGTGGGTGGTGTGCAGAGGACTGACCATGCTCTGGCCCTACTGCCGGCCTAGAAGGCTGACAGGGGAGGAGAACCCCAGGTGCCCGCAGCAGGGGCAGCAAGCATGCGGCAGCCAAAATGCCCAGTGAGCCACAGGGTGCCCAGGCTTCTGGGTGCTTCTAGGGCACGGCTGCCAAGCAGGACATAGAGACCAGCGTGGGGGTGGCAAGCAGGCCCTGGACCCCAGATGGGGTGGGCTGTGGCTTGTGGTGTGGAGCGCTGTGGGCCACCTCTGGCTGGAGGTCCACAGGGGCCTGTGGGCATCTGCAGGAGGGTCCTGTGGGACCTTCAGGCATCTGTGGGAGGCAGGGTCCACCACGGAGGGGGCAGGGGCGACTCGCTGCCTGGAAGGGGACCTGTTCCCAGTTTGGGAGCCTGGCTTCCTTGGAAACTGCTCCCACCTTTGGGGCACAGAATTCCTGTCCGTGTCCCTCTCGGTGCCACCCTGACCACCTTCCCTGTGTCCCCTCTCTGCAGCCATCGTGAACCCCAAGCAGCCCAAGGAGACGCCCAAGAGCTTCAGTTTCGACTACTCCTACTGGTCCCACACCTCGGTGAGCCAGGGCTGGGCCAGTGTGTGGTGGTGTGGACCCTGGCTCTGGCCAGCTCGCAGTGTGGCCCCCCGGGATTCCCTCCACCTCTTGAAGTGGCATGCTCCCCTCTGAGGGGGGCGAGGACCCCACCTGCTCCCCGGGTGGGTGCCTCTGAGCTGGGCCTGTGCTGCTTCCCGCAAAGGCACCCCCACTGGCTCTCAGCTCTCACCTGGGATGCAGAGGCCCCTCCCCAGGGCAGGCGTCCCTCCTCTTGCACTGTCCCTGGACACGGTGGCCATCCTCAGGAACTGCCCCTTCCTCCCCAGCCCGAGGACATCAACTACGCCTCGCAGAAGCAGGTGTACCGGGACATCGGCGAGGAGATGCTGCAGCACGCCTTCGAGGGCTACAACGTGTGCATCTTCGCCTACGGGCAGACAGGGGCGGGGAAGTCCTACACCATGATGGGCAAGCAGGAGAAGGACCAGCAGGGCATCATCCCACAGGCAGGTGGCCGCTGGCCAGGAGCAGGGAGCCGGTGGGAAGGCAGACTGGGCGGTCAGTGGGGCAGGGCAGGAGGCAGGCGGAGGGACTACCAGGAGGCACGCACCAGGTGGGGACGCACCAGGAGGGGACGGCTGAAGCTGCTGGCTGGGGTGGGCTGGGAACTGGCTGTGTACAGGCGTCCAGAGCAAGGGGTGACCAGACACGAGACACAGATGGCTCCTCAGATGCCACCAGAGCTCTGGTCTCCCCCAGTCCAGTGCCACGCCCCCGGCAGGATCTGAGCTGGTTCATACTTGACCTGTCGGGGAACCCCCGTGGGTGGCAGCTCCCGCCTCATGCCCTCGGGGTCGGGGTGACAAGCAGAAGTCCCTCTGAGAGGATCAGGGTCTCACCAGGGGACCTGGAACCAGAGGACACCAGCCCCTGGGCTGCAGGCTTTTTTTGGTGCCTTCACATTGGGATGTGCGTTGTGACAGGAGGGCCTGGCAGAGCAGTGTCCCCTTGGCCATGGGGGATGGGGTTCCGGGGGCCATCAGTCCTCCGAGCTGACTCTCCCTCTGTCCTTACAGCTCTGTGAAGACCTCTTCTCCCGAATCAACGACACATCTAATGACAACATGTCCTACTCCGTGGAGGTAGGGCTCCCTGCTGGACACCTGCAGGGGACAGTGGGGTCCCAGAAGCCACCCCTAAGGCAATGGGGTCCCAGGTCCTGTCCCTAAGGCAGTGGGGTCCCAGGTGCCGTTCCCAGGGCAGTGCTTTGCCACTGGTCTGTGCCCTCAGCTTGTCATTGCTTGTCCCCGGGGCTGCCCCTCTGGCTCCCCTGTGCGGTCTTGTCCCCGGGGCCGCCCCGCCGGCTCCCCTGTGCGGTCTTGTCCCCGGGGCCGCCCCTCTGGCTCCCCTGTGCGGTCTTGGAGACGTGTGGAGCACAGCTGTTGAGTGAGTGGCTACTCGGCCCCGTGCTGGGACGGGTGTCTGGGGGCTGCCTGGCCCCTGATGGTGTGGCTGTCCTGCAGGTCAGCTACATGGAGATTTACTGTGAGCGTGTCCGTGACCTCCTGAACCCCAAGAACAAGGGCAACCTGCGCGTGAGGGAGCATCCGCTGATGGGGCCCTATGTGGAGGACCTCTCCAAGCTGGCTGTCACCTCCTACAATGACATCCAGGACCTCATGGACTCGGGGAACAAGGCCAGGTGGGGGATGCTCCTTGCCCTCCACCCTCGCCATGCCTGACACTATTAGTCCCCGAGGAGGACCACCTTCCCCTCTGCCCAGCTCTTGGCACCCGAGGGTCCTTGTTGGGGTCTGCCTGGTGGCCCTGATTTCCTCATGAGTCTGGGGCCATCAAGGGCATGTGCCAGCCTGGGAGAGACCCAGACCCCCTGGTTCAGGGGACACTGTCACCTACGTGAGGGCTGCTTCTCTCTGGGAGTGGGCAATGTGACCTTGTGCCCTCCAGCTGAGGGCTTTGTGTTCTCTGTGGGGTGCTGGCCCCTCCGGTAGGGCCAGTCTTGGTCCCCGAGGGCAGTGCTCTGATAGCCCAGGGGTTCTGAGACTGTGAGAGCTGCCCTGCCCTGGCTTCCTCCTGGACACTCTGGGTTCTGTGACCACTGTCCCTCTCTGCCACAGAGACTCCCCTCGAGGCCATTGCCTAGTCGGCCGCCTCTGGGTGGGGCTGACCCATCCTGAGCCCTCTCTCCACCATTCCCCAGGCAGCCTCTTGGCACCTGGTGACTGAGTCTGGGGACACTCTCTGAGGTCCCTGGCAGGTTGGGGCAGTATGGGAACCAAACCCCGGCCCTCTCTGGCAGGCTTGGGCTCTCTCCTCTGGAAGGTCGCCCTGCTGGCCCTGGCATCTCCTGGGCATAGGGTGGGCTACTGGGCTCTCTGGAGAGGATGGCGTGGCAGGAGGGTGGGATGTGGTGGACATACTCTTTCTCTTCCAAGGGGCTTTCTCACACCAGGGCCCTCAAGGACCTCTGCCCTGCTGGGGTTCCTGAGCCCCTGGGAGCAGGGAGCACCCCTCGGTCATGGCATCCCCATGAGGGACAAGGACCCCCATGGTGGGCAGTGGGAAGGCTGAGCAGGAGGCTGGCAGGAGGCATGGTCACCCCTGCCTGGCCCGAGCAGCCCTGTAGCCTGCTCCTACCATGGGGTGGCCTGACATGGGACAAGGGTGATCTTGTGTGGCTTCCTGCTCCCAGGACGGTGGCAGCCACCAACATGAACGAAACCAGCAGCCGCTCTCACGCCGTCTTCAACATCATCTTCACCCAGAAGCGCCATGATGCAGAGACCGACATAACCACTGAGAAGGTGAGTGGGGGCCCAGGCAGGCGGCGCCACCAAGAGCAGTGGCAGCACAAGGACCCCAACCGCACACTGGCCTGTGAGATGTGGGCACCGCCCTCTGCCAGGAGCAGGTGCTGCCCGTCTGCCACCTGGTGTGGGTTCCAGTGGGGTGCTGGCCAGTCTGGGAGGCCACCTCACCTCAGAATGTGGGGCGGCCTGGGTGTGGAGGGGATCGGGGTTCAGGGACCGGGTCCTCCTCCCTCCACCTCCTGCTGCTGGGCAGTTTTGGTGGGGTCTGTGGGGATGTCCCAGGCAGCACCAAGGACAGAGGTGAGGCGGCATGCCTGGTACCCCCAGAAGTGGCAGCAGAGGTGGGGTGGCAGGGCCAGTTAGTAGTCGGAGATGCCCGTGGGTTCTGGTGCAGGCGGGCAGGGCTGCGTCCTCTGCCTTCACTGGGAGCCGGGCCCTTACCAGGAGCAGGGCCTCGGGCGGGCACCAGCATCTTCAGCTAGGGACGCCCTGCCTGAGGGCACAGGCTGCCCACTGCCCCTGTCCCATGTGCCCTTCCCACACACTTGAAGTTCTTGGTGGACCGGTGGGCGCCCTCTCCTGGCCCTGTATCCCAGGGGCTCCTGGAGGGGGGTGGGCAGGCCTGGGCCTCTCCCTGCCTGCCTCTGACTGTGCCCCACCCCTGAGCCCCGCCCAGGCCTCCTCCAGTCTCCTCAGAGGGGTTTCCCCGGCGGCTGAGGTCTGCTGAGGGCCTGTATGAAGTGTGTCTCAGTCCCTGGAGGTGCTGGGGGGTCACCTCAGGGCCACCTCCAACTGACCCCTTGAGGTAGTAAGAGGAAGCTCAGGGAGGCCGACGGGGGCTGGGACCAGAAGGAGGGCATGGTCAGAGCCCAGGCAGACGGCCGCTGGCTCCTCCGTCACTGGTCAGGGCCCTGAGGGTCCCTCTGTGTCCAGGCCTGTTAGACAGCCAGTGGGCCTGCCTTTGGTGTGGCTTAAGAGCAGCTGGGCCTCCCTGGGGTGGGCTGGCACCACTGTGGGTGCTCGGTGGGAGAAGCTGCCGCATCTGCCGTTGCAGGTCAGCAAAATCAGCCTGGTGGACCTGGCCGGCAGTGAGCGGGCGGACTCCACGGGGGCCAAGGGCACGCGCCTCAAGGTAGGGCCAGGCTGCTGTGCCGCGGGGCTCAGCCAGTGGGGTCCAGTGTCCAGGGAGAGCTGGCCAGGAGGGTCTGGCTGGGGCTGGGGGCGCGGGGCCACAGCCTGGGCAGGGAGTGGGGGCCCAGGCCAGAGCCTTTGGCCTCCAGTGGCCAGAAGACCATTCCCGCTGCCCTGCTTGAGTGAGGACAGGCTCCGGCTGGAAGCTGTACTTCTCCACGGTCCCCCTGTCCTCACACCAACCCTGAGGAGCACGGGCTGTGCACTGGCCTCCTGTGAAGACAGCCTTAGTGTCAAGAAGGAGCGGTTTTGGTTTCCAGAGGGCCCCCTTTGGTCCCCGCCATGACTTGATAGTTGGGAACAGCCCTGGAAGTGGAACCTGGTGAGGACAGGGGCACTGAGAAGAAATGCTGGCCACACCCCAGTGGCCCCTGGGGTCGGCAGGCAGAGTGGTGCCTCTGCCGCACCTTCCAGCCAGGCCCTGGAGCCCACCTGGACCACTTTCCACCCACAGGAGGGAGCCAACATCAACAAGTCCCTGACCACCCTGGGGAAGGTCATCTCTGCCCTGGCTGAAATGGTGAGCTGGCCCCGGCTTCAGGGCTGGACTGGTGGGAGGGACTGTGGAGGCCCCTCCCTCTGATGCCGAGAGGACGTGGGCTGTTGCTCTCACTCCCACGTCTGGAGAGGTGGCTGTGGCCCAAGGGACAGCCCAGAGACGGGCCAGGCTGGACTTGGAGTAGTGGCCCTTGTTCCTCCCTGGGCCTGCAAGACGGGGATGTGCGGCTTTCCTCGTGGTCCTCCGAGAGAAGTCCACCATGGCCGTGCTGAGCATGTGGATGGCATGCTCATGGGAGGGCCACTGCTGTTGGCCCCGTCCAGGCCACTCTCCAAGGAGGAGCCACAGCCTGGGAGGCAAGGGGCCAGGCTCTATGGGCCCTGCAGAGCCAGCAGCACCCACCCTCACCCAGACACCCGGGCTGTGGACAGAGAAGGACCACTGTCTAGAGAACCTAGCCAACTGAAATGGCTGGGGGTGGGGAAGAGTGCTGGGTGACAGCTGCCTGGTGACACCCGTAGTTTACCTGTTGTCACTCCAGCTCAGGGTGGCCAGTCTTGGTGGGTGGAGGGTGATGGCCACCGGGCATGTGCTCAGGCCTCTTGCTGCTCTCCTGCCCTCTGTGCCTACCAGTCCTCCCCTCTCCACATACTCTGGGGCCGCAGCCTCAGCCCAGGTCCTCAGACTCTTTCTGTCCTCTCTCTTTTCAGGACTCTGGGCCCAACAAGGTAAGCGGCTTCCTTCAACCCCAAGGGCAGGAGGCTGGAGGCAGAGCACTGGCCCAGCCCCTGTGCACACCTCAGCTGGGCAGCCCCCCCCACCTCTTCCCTCAGCAGGGAAACGCACCAGTCCCCCCCGCACAGAGGCGCGCAGCCCTGCCTTCTGGCCCCACAGTGCAGTGGGGAGATCGGTGGTAAACAGCAGCGAACAAAGAGAAAACGCAACTATCAATCAGGATGGATCCCTAGGGAGGAAGGGCCGCGAGAGTGGCCGACAGGAGAGGCAGTCTTCAGTCGGCTGGGATAGGGAGGCTTCCTAAGGGAAGTGGCCTGGAACAGAGACCTGAGCCATGGGAGGACCTGCCAGGCAGGTTGTAAGCACCCGTGCCCTGTAGTCGGAGGGGACAGAGTGAGATGCACAGGTGGGCAGAGGTTGCTGGTGGGAGGACACGGGAGAGGCATGTGTGCAAGGTGTGAGGAATTAAGGAAGGAAGTCCATGAGGAACTCTGCAGGAAGTGCGCAAGGGTGTGTGTGCAATGGGGTGAGGCGTGTGAGCGCTGTGGGCAGCTGTGAAACTACGCGTGATGGACCAAGGAACTGTGCAAAGAGTGTGTGAGGATCTGTGAGGAGCCATGAGGACCTGTGTGTGAAACTGTAAGAAACTCTGAGGATCTGGGTGAGGATCTGTGAGGATCAGTGTGAGGATCTGGGTGAGGATCTGTGAGGATCTGTGTAAGGATCTATGTGAGGATCTATGTGAGGATCTGTGTGAGGACCTGTGAGGACCTGTGAGGATCAGTGTGAGGATCTTTGTGGGGATCTGTGAGAGGATATGTGAGAGGATCTCTGAGGACCTGTGACGATCTGTTTGAGGATCTGTGTGAGGATCTGTGAGAAGATCTATGTGAGGATCTATGTGAGGACCTGTGAGTATCTGTGTGAGGATCTGTGAGGATGTGTGTGAGGATCTGTGAGGACCTGATAGAGGATCTGTGAGAGGATCTCTGAGGACCTGTGAGGATCTGTTTGAGGATCTGTGGGAGGATCTATGTGAGGATCTCTGTGAGGTTCTGTGTGAGGATCTGTGTGAAGATTTGTGTGAGGACCTGTGAGGAT